GGCGCGTCTTTTCTCGTCTTTACGGTATTTGTTGTCTGGGAGTGACTCCTGCACAGAGACACAATGGAGCTGCAGCGACAGAGTAAATACTGAATCACTGCATTCACACAAAGCCTTATTTATCTCTGACAGTGTTATGGTAAAGTAATGCTGTCTGCGGGCTGCTAGCAGCATGCAAAACGCTTGTTTTAGCGCTGAAGAGTTAACTTCGTTACTTAGATATTTAGCTTACAGTCCTGCTAGCCGGCTGAGTTAGCCTAGCCTAGCCAAGCACCTGCCTCTGTGTTACATCTGCTAGCTTGATATCAAAGGTTTTATTATGGAGTTTCCTTTTGATATTAACCAGTTGTTCTCTGAGAAGGTCTCCATCTTGGACCAGAGCCTTTTAGGAAGTCGTAAATCTGCCTCACGGTAAGTTTTATTTTGGGTCTTATTGTTTCACTGATGCTCCACTAAACCCCCAAAAAAACATTAAATCACAGAAAAACATGCTTAAAATCAAATGTGCACAAATTAGATAATGTGGTAATTGTTTTTTTTTTGTATTGTGTTGTTGCTGCTTTGTGTCTGTCATTTGCCATTTACTTAGAAGAACAGGGAATATTGATTTTATATTGATTATATATTGATTATATATTGATTATATATTGATTATATATTGATTGTGGCAATACCAGATTTTAAACTTCGATACCTGTAAGAATCGTTTGACATCGATACCTGTTCCAATACTGCAACAACAATAGAGGTCTGAGGCGCAATTGTCAAAAAAAAAATTGCAAGCAACCAGCTGGGTATTATCCACAACCTCATTATTCAATTTTAATTCTTTGGGTCACGATTCGATATTAATATCCTTCGATATCGATTTAATACACACAGATGACAGAAATACCCAGATACATCTACTCACAGTACCTTTTTATATTTGTTAAATAATTATGTGTGCATTGTTTGTATAGGTTTAGAACCAACAACCCTACTTTTTTATCATAATTCTTTATTTATCTATCACACTATGCACTGGCAGAGCTAGTATTTTGTACTGTTATCTATGAGTAACAGCTACTTATGCACATGGACCATCATACCACTTTTTTTTATCCTGGCTATGTATTGTGGGCTCATGTTTTTTTGTGTATGGGTGGGATAAGTATGTATACAGTGTTTCCCCTACCATTATATTGGGGGGCAGCCCGCTAGAGGTTAAGTAAAAAAAAATTAAAGATTTATTTTTGGGCTTTTTGTGCCTTTATTGTAGGGATAGGATAGTGGATAGAGTCGGAAATCAGGGAAAGAAGTCATTTAAGGAAACCTTTCCGATAGAAAAGGACAGCTGTCATTAAAAGTAACGCATGAACACCAAGATTCCTTCAAGTGTTTGTGTCGTCGTGTCGTCATGTCGGCTTGTCCCCACCCCCCCAACGCTGTAAACCTAGGGGAAACACTGGTATATATGTGTTGTGTTTGTGTTTGTATGTATGCTGCCTGCTGGAACACCTACATTTCCCTGCTGGGATGAATAAAGTATATCTTATCTTATCTTTTATCTTTATCTTAACTGACTCAGAAATGTATTTTATCGTTGCCTTGTTCTTTAATAAACAAAGAATAAAACATTAAAGTACAGGATGATCTGAAGTGCACATTTGTGCCTGATCTGAATTTGCAGCAAAATCGTAATAAACTTAACAGTGCTGTAATGGCATGGACAAAAGGTATGTGTAAAGTGCACTATTGTGCCTGACTTAAGCACCCACAGCGCCCCCAGTGGAGAGAGGCGTCATTACAATGAAAAAAATAAATCGATCTCAGGATTTCCCTGAATCGATATTGAATTGGGAAAATAATAATTGCAATGCATTGATGAAGTGATTTTTTTTTTTTAACCAGCCCTACTGCACACTGTCTCAGTTCACAAAAACATTGTGCAAGTGGTTGCCAACCGAAATATTGCCAATCAGTTTGTGCAACTCGTACAGTGTGCAGGTGGTTGATGGATTTGTTTCTCTCCTTATGCTCCTGTCATGTAAAAAATAAATAAGTTTCAGTACTTTTCAATACTTTATAACTGAGATATCAGAGGTTGTATCGTTTTAAAAACGTGGTAACAAAATGTATCAAAGGGGTAACATTTCATCGACCTGATTTTAAAGGGTTAAGTCGGTCCCTTGTGTGATTGTGTTGGAGTTAGAGGAGCAATACCCCAGAGTAGCCCAGGCTGTGGTGGACGGGATATCTTTTCATAGAGCCAAGAAATCCTGGCAACAACCTCCGTTAATCTGAACCGAGCAGACGATGCTCCCCCAAACCCCGTTCAAATATCGGTCAATTTAAGCTTGCATGCTTATCAGCACAAGTTAAATAATTGATGTTATTGTGTTGTTGTGCTCAGTTACAAACAGAGACACACACACACACACACACACACACTCACCCATGGACCATGCTGCAGCTGTAGTGTCTGGCGGTTAAGCCTCTCCCTGCTGCCTGTCTGTCTCTGTCTGTCTCTCTTTCCGTCACAGCTGATCTGATCATGTTGTGCGTTCTGTGTTCCTCTCTGTAGTCCAGATCTACAAGCTCACATCGCCACTGTTATTGATGAACTGGGGAGAGCCTCAGCTAAGGTGAGTCCGTGCGTACCTGCAGGAGAAGGGGATTTGTTTAAAGCTATTGAGGTGAACCTGTTCTACTCTGTCTTATTTAAATCCACTCTGGTCCTTGATATCAGCCTGTAAACGTTGAAGAAAATAAAATAGAATAAAGCGCGTTTATTGTCGTTGCACATTGTACAACAAAATGTGCTTTGCTTCTCTAAACAGGAAGAATAACAGTCATAACATGGCGCCTTAATAGTTATAAAAAAAAGATGAAATTTGAGGTGAGTTGTTGTTTTTTAGGAGTCAGAAGTGACCATGTTTGTACATTAGGAACTGCAAAGTTATCAAAGTTGTACAGCCTGTAGCCGTGGCTAATTCAATATCTGCTTGTGAGCTAGTTAACCATCGTAGTTCCCAAAGAACGAGACCCTATTAGTGGTTGTTACTGGTCAGTTTTTTCACAGCTCACAGTGGGACAGATTATTTTAAATTCACAAGAAAAAATCTACAAAAGGCTCCCGACAGCTCAAACACAGCCCAGAGGTTAAAGGTCAGTGAATGAATCAGCTGAGGTGACACCTAGCAGACAGCTAACAGCTCTTACCTGTCAGTCAAAGAGGCCACGCCCCTTATTTTACATCCCTTTAGGCCTTGATAGAATGTAAACAGACTGTTTTTGTACCAGGCTGGAAACAATGGCTGTGAAGTTCGTCATGTTAACATGGGGCTCTGTTGGGACTGACTCACTTTTGGGGACAACCTCTAGTGGACACATGAGGAAGTGCAGGTCTCGGTTCTTCAGGTGTGTAACAGTGTGTCTCTGTCTTCAGGCTCAGCAGCTCACTGCGCCAATAACAAGTGCTTCAAAACTGCAGACTCAGAGACATCAGCTGTACCTGATGAAGGACGGAGAGAGCAACGGGTACACACACACACACACACACACACTGAGTCACAATGCATGTACCTTACTTTTGACACATAAGCGACTGTGTGACTAATGCTCATGGCAGCAGATCAACTTTCATCACTCATACTTTGTGGAAACTATGTCGGACTCACTAAACTTTACTTTACCCCCTTACACACACACACACACACACACACACAGAGGACGGGGAGTGGTCGTCGGATTTCTTAAAGTCGGCTACAAGAAGTTGTTCCTGCTGGTGAGTCACCCGTCTTCATTTATTTTTGTTTTAACTCGTCCTGCAGCTCAGATTTGATTAAACTCTCCTCTTGTTGTACTTCCTCTCAGGACAGACAGGGGGCGCACATAGAGGCCGAGCCGCTGTGTGTGTTGGATTTCTTCATATCAGAGAACGTGCAGAGACACGGCTACGGGCTGGAGCTCTTTGACTTCATGCTGCAGGTAAATGACTTGAAAACATCGTCTTCATATGGAGGCGACTCTCAGGGAGTGAAGCTCAAACACTGTTATGATGGACCGATGTGTTCAGGGGTCAAACCCCAAGGGTGGGTATTTTCAGTATTTGAGTATATTTGCTCTGTGATGGCCTAAGGCCCCGTGTCCACCTAGCGTTTCTTCCGGGCAGAAGCGTTTCTTCCGCTGGCTGTGCGCTCGGGATTGTTTGCATGAAGCGTTTGTGCTCTGAGAAGAAAAGCGCTGCACGTCCATCCTGTCTCCATGACAACAGTCTGTTGACAACAGCCGCTGTTTGACCGACCCGGCTCCGTTACTTTTTACTGCGTGTTTTATATTTGAGATCGTTTTTTACCCGATCAGACACGAAGCGAGGAGGATGTGGGTGCAAGACACGATCTGTAGGAGGTTAAAAAACTGGGAATTTCATACATTTAGAAAAGAGCGCCGGTGAGGTCAACAGCGCCTTTCTGAAAAGTTGAAAGATTTTAAACTTGAGCGGCCGCACAAAAAGGAGTTTACGTGCATCTGTCATTCGAAACAAGAACTGACCCTTTAATGGGTTAACGACTTCTAGTTATGTTTCAAGGTCTGGTACTGGTTTCATGATTATCAGTCTGGTCTTGTGACCGGCCCGGGAGCTCAGTAACGTCCTCGCTGATTAAATGTTTTGTTTTGTTTCTTGTTTTGTAGCATAAGAGTTTAGAGCCGACCCTGATGGCGTACGACCGGCCCTCGCCTAAACTCCTGTCCTTCCTGGCGAAACATCACTGTCTGACTCAGAGTGTTCCTCAGGTACAGTGTGTACTCTCCATCTCTGCATCACACTCACTGTCCTCCTCTGTCAGTGTGACCTCCAGATTATACTCATGTTAAGAACCCTCAGGGGACACGGAGACGTCTGCGCTCATGTGACAGTCTGATTGTTCCATTTGTCCGGGTTATATTTAGACTCTCTGTCTCTGAACGGTTTTTTTTATGTGTTTTCAGATCTGTCTCTGAGATTTTTTTTATATGAGATCAGATGTTTAAAGTAGAAACCAAAAACGGAGAAGAGAGGCTCTGATAAACCTACAACGATTTTTACACACAGTGTTTCCACTGAAGCTTCTTCTTTGAAACATTTTGCTGACATGAAATTGTGCAATTGTCACTTAAAGGCAGGGTTGGTAATTTCCTCCAGATCCACTTTTTGAGATTTTGGTTGAAATGGTCTTTAGGTCCTGATAGAAATGAATAACTCATGTTCTCTGAAACAGGAACAAAGAGAATTCGTCATCTGTAGCAGTTGTAAGTCTGTAAAAACTTCCACCAATGTCTGCCACGAGGTACGTGCTCTAGCCCACACTCAAAGCACGTCACTGAAGACAGAGTTTATACTGTGAGCTTACTTACTTTCTAAATTACCAACCCTGCCTTTAAACATGTATTTCAAAACACCGCATTCTGTTTTTATTTACATTTTACACAAAGTCCCGCACCACTTTTCAGGAGCTGAGGTTGTGTTAACGTTAGTGTTTGTGTTTGTGTGCACAGGTGAATAACTTTGTGGTGTTTGAAGGATTCTTCCAGAACAGATCAGGTAACTCTTCTTCTCTTATCTCTCTAAGTACGTTGTCGTAGTCAGGTCTCTCTCTCTCTCTCTTGGAGGTATGAATGTGGGCTGTGTTTGGTATTCTCGGTATTTCTCCTTCAACATCGAGTCTCTTTGTCTCTAAAAAAAGAAGCTTTATAATCCCACACTCTCTCTCTACATTCCTGTGTTATTCATCAGGCTCGATGTGAAACATGTTCAGCATGCTGCAGATTTACTGAGAGACAAGAGCGACATATTCATTTTCTTTTCTTTAGTTCATGAAGTTGTCCTCCATCAGTACCGATGTTAGAAACACTTAAAAGATCCTGATGTGTTTTTATTCCACCTCCACCTGTGCTCACACACTCTCTCAGGCTCTGTCTGCGCTCCTCTGACGGATCAGGGCATGTACGGATATTTGTAAGAACATCTTTGATTTTCTAAACACCCCCCCTCCACCCCTTTGTCCTATAACAATAAGAGCATTTATCCCATAATAAGCTTTATATAAGACTGTGTGTTTGATACGTTAACTTCTTTCTCTTCATGTCTTCATCCCCTCACCTGTATTTATCATCCTGCACGGGAACAACATGTCATGAATCTTGTCCTATATTGTACCAGCTGTCCAAGGTATCACAGCATCCTCAGAGAGACACAGACTGTAGACCCCTTCAAGCCCCCTCAGACCCCCTCAGACCTCCTCAAGCCCCCTCAGACCCCCTCAGACCCCTCAAGCCCCCTCAAGCCCCCTCAGATCCCCCAGACCAACTGATACCTGAACCTGCCCTGCAGACTCTCCAAAACTGTTTTCACACATGCACTCCTGAAAGTTTCTAGAACATTTCAGGCAGGCTGCTCCTGAAATCTTCCTGAGTTGTTTGTTCACACGTGTACCACACAGCAGGAGACTTTCCCTGTCGGAGGGGGGGGGATGGGGGGACATGACGTAAAAAGACGCAGAAGAAGGAACAGAGTCCGACCAAGAGGACAGTTTCTTGCTTTTATATCACTGATCGCGTGCAGACAGTCTATGGTTTTGGGCTGCCTTCTTCTGCTCTCAGTGAATATTTCCTGCTGCGTTCCCACATCAGCTCATCCCGACGTCACTTGTAAAACTTACCCGGGGCGTGGCAGGTAAGATTGGAGTGACACACTCAGCTGTTTGTGTTCACACATGTAGCTCGGCCCGAACACTTCAGGAAGATTTCAGGAGATATGTGCAAAATGTGAAAACACCACAAACGTCTGTCTGTGGAGTAAAAATACTAAAACTGAAGCAAAAGTCTTCATGTGTCATGTGTCTACATAAACTGTCAGAGCAAAGACACAAAGAAGACAACGTTTTAACATTGCACAACATGTTTACGTTTCTTTCTGAAGTCTTGTCAGCTTTGAGATTCTTCTGATGTCGACTCAGATACGATCCATTCAGGAAAGAAGCATTTTCTTCTTGTTTTCTTCTCGTCTTTCAGACAGAGCTGATCATGATGTTGTTATTTCAGCATCCCTGCAGCCTGTTGTTCATTATTTAATCACAATAAAGTCTGTTTAGTTCTTGGATAGAAGGGGATAATGTTGTGGTACTTGAAATCGGTCTCTGTCTTGAGACCACTTTTTGAAGGTCTCGGCCTAGTCTTGGAATCGAAAGCATTTTTTCTAACAGTATCCGGTGACAGTTCATTATTTCAGTAACTTTGTAGTTTGTGTAGAACAGCATGCCGTCATGTCGTTGTTCCTGGTCCCCTCTGTAAATGTGTTCTCCTCCCCAGCGGCCCAGTTGAGAAAGGTTCCCCTCAGAAAGCCGGACGGAGATATCAAACCCTACTCTGTGATGGAGAGAGAAGGTAAACCTGCATGAAACACTACAATTTCTAATGTGAATATCTTCATAGATATGTAGGTTTAACATTTAAATACTGTTATATCCCCCAGCGGTGCGACGAGAGCAGAGGGTTCCTCCGTGGCCGTTTGTTCCGCCTCACTCCCCCCAGCGATCGGTATCCTCCCAGTACTCCCCTCCCCTCAGCGTGAGCTCTTCCCCCAGCAGGGCCTCCACTCGAGCCGCTCCGCTGTCTGCCCATCAGTCCCCCCTCCTCGAGCGCTGCAGGGCAAGACGCACCAGGTGAGACCGGCATGACTCCGCCCCCTCTTAACATGTTTACGGGTGTTGACCTGGATGAGACGTTAAAAGGCCCCCCCGTGTCTCAACCAAGCGTTTGTTTTCTGAGCGCCAGCGTCTTTTTTCACTTGTTTTCAATGAGTAGAGAGCGATCACAGCAGAAAGAGAAAAGCTCTGCCTTTTTTTTTTTTGACGTCACTGGCGCTTTTCTCCAATTGTTTGATATTCCCGTAGTTTTGCCGCCTACAGATCAGCTGTTTTTATAACTGACTGACTATCTCTCTCTCTCTCTCTCTCTCTCTCCTCTGTGTGTCATCCAACCCTCTCCATGTATTTCTTTCTTTAACTTTATTACCTCTCGGTGTATTTTTGGTATTTTGTCCTTCAGTTCCCTTAACAGATCAGAGTCTGGTTTTCATTGACCAGCGTCCTCCTGCCGTCTCGTCTCTTTGTTGGACGTCTGAGTGAAAGACGTTATCTTGCTGTTAGATTATCAGACTCCAATCTCTCCGTTTTAAAATCTGCCCAGCAGGAAACGACACGCCTGTGTGATGATTTTGTAGAACCATTAAACCCAGTTCGACGAAAATAACCCAGTGAGAAAGTGTTTTTATTCAAAGTGTCCGTGTCACAGAGGTCAGAGGTCACCTCCTCCTTACAGCCCATTTTTTCTGTCAGTGTTTTTTCATTTTTTGATTTAATTTGTTCATGTTTTCATTTTATCCTCAGTTCTTCCTTTTATGTTCAGTTTTTATAATTTTTCTTTTTTTCTTTTGTTCCATTACTTCATCCACCCACCTCCTCCCCCTCTTCCCTTCTCCTCCTTTTATCTCCTGCTCCTCTCTCCTCCTCTCCTCTCCCTTCTCTCCTCCTCCTCTCCTCTCTCCTTCTTCTCTCCTCTCCTCTCTCCTCCTTTCATCTCCTGCTCCTCTCTCCTCTCTCCTCCTTCTCTCCTCTCCTCTCTCCTTCTTCTCTCCTCTCTCCTCTCTCTTCTCCTTTTCTCCTCTCCTCTCTTTGCTAGCGATCAGGGTCTGGTAGCGAGACGCAGCCTGTACAGTCGACACCTGGACATTAGAGCTGTCGGTCTGCAGGACACACACCTGACAGGTGAGCTGGAGTTAGAAGTCAGTGCTGCGCTCACAGGTCCTATGGAAACCGGCAGTAATGCTCTCTTAGGTCTCAGTGTGAAACCTCTCGTTCAGTGTTCCAGTGTTCTCATGTTAAACATAACCCTGTTGCTGTTTCTCTCGTAGCTTCCTGTGAACATAGAGTCATGTTAGATTTACCTCACAGTGCAGTCAGGTGTTCTCTCCGCCCTCATGTGTCAGCACCTTGTACCTCCTCAGGTGTGAGAGCTGTGGAGGATCAGTCACAGGCAGCCGGACACACAGACACACACAGGTTGGCCACGATTCACACTCCTATAACCAGGTACTGACACTTTAGATGTAAACCTGTTTATTATCAGGAGTTGATTTGATCCTCTGATCGTAAAGAACTTTTGTTTGCTCCTGCACGTCTGCACACAAAGTTAATATGATGTTCGTTATAATCTAAGTGTTTGTCCTCCTCTTTATCACTGTGATCTCCCCTTCATCAGGTCCCGCCTCCTCTTGCCTCCTCCTCAGTCTGCGTCCATCACAGAGGACGTCTCAGAGACACAGCCGGGTCCATCTGATGAAGAGGAGGACGGGATTAAGGACAGAGATCAGCATCCAGGAGGAGCAGCAGGAGACTTGTTGTCCAGTCAGAGATGTCCCTCACAGGACAGAGACAGAGGAGTGTGGTCGTGGACCGTAGGAGAGAATTGTTTCAGCGCTCAGTGGGTCAAACAGAGGCAGGAGCGGAGGAGCACGCGGCCGTGGTGACCAGAGAGAGAGAGAGACTGATGATGAGTGACAGGTGGTAACGTGTGAAGACTGAAAAAGAGACGGACTCTACCTTTAACCTGGACACATGAAGTGACGGCTTCAGTCTGCTGAAGAAGAAACATTTCTTCCCCTTTCAGCTCACTCTAAAAACTGCAGGAAGTTTTCAGGAGTTTTGTGCTGATGTGAAAGGACTAATCATGATTTTTAAAAGGAGATAAATGACTCATCAAACATTTCTTGGTTTATTTTAAAATAAAAGTGAAACAGTATGCAGTGTGGACTGAGTCTGTTCATGTTGAGGATAAAAACTTGATCCATGTTTAAAGCGTTCCCGTGACCTGTGCTGCTTTATCATCAGGAATGTTTATTTTTCAAAATATCAGATTTGTTCTGATCTGTCCCGTGTCTGAGCACAGATTATATTTCACTCTTCATCTACAACAACAGGGTTTTTGGAGGTTTGGAGTTTAATGCCGCTGTATTGTCTCTTAGCTCCACCTACTTCCGACTCCACCTCTTCATGTCCCAGCATCCTTTGCAGGTACGGGTGCGTCCTCGGATTAACCTGCCTGCAGCCCAGACCGATCTCACCTGAAACAGTGAACACTCAGACTCATGAGATAAAAAAAAACAAAAAAAAAACATGTTTTATTGTTCCTCTTAAAAACTCAAACACGCTCATGTTCTGTTTCAGAGATAGAGAAAGACGAACGCTGAAGGAGGCGTTCTCTACCTGTTGAACAGGTGTGTGTCTGAAGGTGAAGTGTTCACACACACTCAGTCTTTGTTTGACCCTCTTCAGGACACAGACGGAGACAGAAAGTTCACTGAGCTCAGGTTTCCTCCTCCTCACCGTGAAATTCAACTTTTACAGGATCGACTTGTTTTTTTGGAGTCAGCAGAAGCTCAGACGTAACCCTGACGTTGTAAGTCGGGTTAATGAAGCGTTAAAGCTCAAAGGTGACGGGGGGGTTAATGATTAAAGGAGCAGCAGAGTTTCAGACAGACAGGAAAATTCACCTCTGCAGCTGTTCTGTGTTAAACAAGCAAACACGATCATGAAGAATTTAATCTCCAAGGAGATGATCACATTTGTTTTTTTTAAAGGTGGGATTAATCCTCAGGGAGAAGTCTCTTTAGCCACACCTCCTCCAGAGTCCAGGTGTGTTAGTCATCTGGGTGCCGCAGGGACAGGTACATGTTGGACTGAAGGAAGCGGGGGTAACAGTCCAAGTCCAACAGGGTGTAGATCCGTGCCTGAGCGCGGGACAACGAGGTGTGGGAGGGGGCCTGCAGCAGCTGGAGGGTCAGCTCCCGGGTCTTACTGTCCAGGTTCACCTGAAACAAAGTAAAGCCGGGGACAGGGAGGGAGGGAGGGAGGGGGTGTAGCTCAGAAAGATTTCCTCGTAACATCCAGGACTGCTGGACTCAAATCTCACTCTCAGTTTGATGATAAGGGTTTAATTTGTTACCTGTGGGTGTTACATGTATATGATGTATAGAAGCAGACAGGTGTGCACCTCTCTGGGTGAAGATAAAGCTTCATGTCCCAGGTGTATATGTGAACAGGTGTGCACCTCTCTGGGTGGCGATAAAGCTTCATGTCACAGGTGTATATGTGAACAGGTGTGCACCTCTCTGGGTGAAGATAAAGCTTCATGTCCCAGGTGTATATGTGAACAGGTGTGCACCTCTCTGGGTGGCGATAAAGCTTCATGTCACAGGTGTATATGTGAACAGGTGTGCACCTCTCTGGGTGGAGATAAAGCTTCATGTCACAGGTGTATATGTGAACAGGTGTGCACCTCTCTGGGTGAGGGTGAAGATAAAGCTTCATGTCCCAGGTGTATATGTGAACAGGTGTGCACCTCTCTGGGTGGCGATAAAGCTTCATGTCACAGGTGTATACGTGAACAGGTGTGCACCTCTCTGGGTGGCGATAAAGCTTCATGTCACAGGTGTATATGTGAACAGGTGTGCACCTCTCTGGGTGAGGGTGAAGATAAAGCTTCATGTCACAGGTGTATATGTGAACAGGTGTGCACCTCTCTGGGTGGAGATAAAGCTTCATGTCCCAGGTGTACATGTGAACAGGTGTGCACCTCTCTGGGTGGAGATAAAGCTTCATGTCCCAGGTGTACATGTGAACAGGTGTGCCTGCCTCTGTGCTGGTGAGTGTGTGTGTGTTTTGCTCTCCTGGTGATAATAAAGCTGAAGTGACAGGTGTGTTTATGTTCTATGTTCACAGGTATGTACCTCTCTGGGTGCCCCGGGCTGGATGTAGGTGCTGATGATGTCTCGTGCCCTCCGCTGCATGCTGAAGTTGTTGGACGACTGTTTGTACTGTTCACAGGCCAGATAGAACTGAAGGTTCTCCTCGCTGAACTCTGAGCGCAGGAACGCCTTGAACACCTGGACACCGGCTGAGGAGGAGGAAGATACTGTGACATACTGTAGGTCTCAATATACAGATTGCCTCCAGGGGGCAGAACGCTGCAGTGCTGCCTGTGGTGGAATTTCTGTATTTATTTAGATTGTACAGATGTCATTAGGTTTATTCACTGTTCTCTAATGTCAGTCAGACCTGACAGAGTTCAGCTGTTATTAGAACACCAAGTACAGCTTAGAGAGTGTCAACTGTTTTTCCTGATATCTGTAAGGATGTTTGGTAGACTTATTATCTGCTCCAGTGTTATAGACGTCACAGTTTAGTCTAGGTGGGTCAATGTGACACGACCCTGATAATGGTAATGTCTTTTTTAGGATATATGCGATGCCTTTCGAGAAGTTCAGCAGATGTGATTGAGCAAGACACGAGAACAGAAGTGTGATGTTGAATCATGTCTCCTCATGAGTATTCTTCTTATGTATAAACTTTCATCTGAGTCAACTGCGTTTTAGTGTGTGGAGTCAAGTCTTAGTAATTTCCTCAAATCTGCCAGGGGAGGAGTTTGTATCTTGTTATTAAACAGACTGAAATATTTACTGAAAGATATTTATGAGCTAAAAAAATGTATATAAGACCATCAACCAGAAGGTGGATTATTCCTTCAAAGTTACTTTTGATACCTGAAACAAACGTCGGGTGCTGATGTCGGATAGGGCGATTAAAATCACGCTGCAGAAACAGACTTCACAGTGAGCGACATGTTGACTGATAAAACACAGCAGGAGGAGAGCGTACACTTCAGCAAAGATTTATCTGTTCATCAGCAGTGGGCGGGACTTTCCCGTGTGTTATTGTTGTGCGGTATTTGACACAGTGATGAGCCCAGTCGCACAATAACAGCAGACGTGATGACGCTGATTGCTGTGATCAAAGCATCAAAGCACCTTACAGACCGGGGGAAACTTCAAGTACAAGTTTCACCACGCACTGTTGGTAGATCCTGATAAACACTCAGGTGTTTTCAGGTCACACCTAATAAGGATGTGACACACACACGCGCGCACGCACGCACACACAAACCATGAGGAACGCTGCAATAAATACACGTGATTTACACCTGTGTGTGTTTTCTATAGATAGCAGCAGCTCTGCTCTTTATGACTCAGCACACAGAAACAGTGACGTCTGTTCACAGGTCAACAGCTCTGAAGGTACAGGTGAGCGCTGATAGAAACAGAAACACAGACAAACACACACTAAATGTCACAGTGTTCACATCAGACATTTCTGCAGGGCATCAGCTGACGATCTCAAAGGTACTGATGTAGGACACAGAGATTTTCCTCGTGGGGTTGGTAGGGAACATGAAGTCGGGGGTGAAACTTTAACATTTAAAGAGATTTCTGTGTTTTTATGAGTTAATAGGTAGACTCACTCTGACTGGCCAGCAGGGCGTTCAGAGACTCCGCCCACTTCTCCAGTTCCTCCATGCACACCTTCCTCTTCTTAGTGTGTCCCACCTGAGACCACTGGTGCATGAATTGCAGCCGAGACCGCCGCTCCACCACGCTGAGCCGGAAAAGGGAGGACAAACGTCGGTTGATTAAATGTTGGTTAATTATTTCTCTGCAGTTTGGTGAAGCAGGATGAGCAGCCGTGCAGTTAGGCATTATGTGCTTCTCACCTGTCTTTGTGTTCTGGGTTGAACAGGTTGGAGTTTGAGGAGTGAGGACTCTGAAACAGAGAACGCAGAGGTAACATCTGTCACGTTTAAAGTTTTTATTATACAAAGACGTACCGCTGCAGCACACTGCCTTTCAATCTTAACATAAAACGAAATGAGAACTTTCTACAATTGTTTACAAAAGTAGATTAAACGATGGACCGATACAGCTTTAAATATTCAGCAGATATTTCAAGATATCAACAGGGAGCCTTCAGCCTAGCGGTTAGTTTGCGTGCTTCATGTACCAGAGGAAGTCGACGGCAGCGACGTGGATTCAACTCCGACCCTCTCTCATCCTGACTTTTTCCTTCCCCTTCAATAAAGAAAATTACTCGTACTTCATGTTTATTTGTATATGTATGAAGAAAGTAAATCATCGCCACACACGACAGTAATCATGGCCTGAAGCCTGAAACAGTCCTGGACAAAACCCTTCACATACTTAACGATGCACTACGTGTGTTACTGGAGGTCACCACTAGAGGGCACACCGGAAAGCTCAGGCTGCACGGGATGTGTGGGATATAAACTACAGTCATGGAGACACTCGAGGAGGTTACTGATTTATTTTTGCTGGATACAGTCAGATATCAGGGAGAGAGAGAGAGAGAGAGAGAGAGAGAGAGAGAGGGGAACCATATGTGGGACAGGAGCCACAGGTTGGATCCATCGTGTGTGTGTGTGTGTGTGTGTGTGTGTGTGTGTGTGTGTGTGTGTGTGTGTGTGTGTGTGTGTGTGTGTCTCACCGGTCCAAACAGACTCTTCAGGTGAAGTTTGGCTGCAGATAGTTTGGCTCGGCGGTGTCCGTGTGTGGAGGAAGAAGAAGAGGAAGACGGGTGAGGCGGGTGTTCCCCCCCCATGCTCTCTGTGCTCCCCTGGTTGTCGGGGGCGAGCTGTCCGTCACTGTACGCCCTGCAGCCCTCACTCATCACCCGCAGGTGGCTCTGTTTATGTAACTCGCTCAGCTCCTCCACGCTCACACTGTGCTCCTTCCTCAGCTCCCCCCTCCCCGCTTCATGCGCCCCAACAGGCTCCAGGATGGTCGGGGTGTCCCTGCCACTCCCCCCATCCAGCTCGTCCTCCTCCAGGTGAGGCGTGTAGGTGCCAAAGTCACGCGTCCTCTCATGATCCGGGTTTTTCAGGGCCACCTTCTTCCACGGGAGAAAGTCCAGATCAAGGAGGGAGCCCTCAGAGCTGAACCTCCTCATGATTGCTGTGAGGAGGAGAAGGAAGAGGAGGAGGTTAAAAAAAAGAAGTTATTTTTGTGTGTTTTTCCACCAGCTCGCTCCTAAATTTTCTGCATGAGATCAGGGAGGGCTGCATCAGGGTGAGCCAGAAAATCTGGAAAATTATATGCAGGCAAGAGGGAGGGGGTGATGATGTGATATCTGTGGACCCGTTCTTCTTCTTCTTCTTCTTCTTCTCCGCTCTTTAGTCGATAATACTAACTTGTCTAACATGTCAAAAAGCAACATTTCCTTTTGTAGCATTCGACTCTGTTGCTTTGTCCTCCACTTCATCCACGTCATGTCTTGGCTCCTGACCCCCCCCTCGCCTCGCCCCTCCTGTCTGACTTGTATAGTCTCCCGCTGTGAGGTGCATGTGAGAACAAGTACCTCAGGAAGGTTTCAGGATCAGTCTGTGTGACGTTTTCAGGAGTGCATGTGTGAAAGCACACAGAGAGCAGACGATATGACAATATCTTAATTGCACAAATATGTTGGCAACGTTTCAAGTTATTTGCACAATTTAGAGGACGTGCAGGAATTTCCCTGCAATATTTCATAACTGAAATCGTGAAAATTACCAAAATGTTGGGTGCCTGAAACTTCTGTGTTTGGTGTTGTTGTGGTATTGAAACGGGTATGGATAGCATTTGATTTTGTTCTGGTATCTTTTTGAAGGTTAAAACTCCATCGTGACGACCCTAATCTCCTCCACTAAATGGGACGCAGCCTTCAGGAACAAACTCTCAAATGTCTCTTAATGCATGCACACACCCCAAAACAAACTCACACACACACACACTCACACATTCTCAGACACACACTCACACACACACATTCTCAGACACACACACACACACACACACACACACACACACACACACACACACACATTCTCAGACACACACACAAAGGTTAAATCATTTACAGAAGTGTCACATTCAGCTGTTCTGCCTCAGAAGGTTCCTGAATAACTCTGGCTCAGTCTTGTTTTTAATGTTTGTGGATCATGAATAAAACTAATGGTGTGAATCTTTTCCACACACACATGAAACTCTCTGTGTTTTTCTGTAAGCAGCAGTCTGTAGAAATCTTTAAATAGCTAACTGACACGTTAACGTTTGACCTTTAAAACACAGACATCACCTGCTGCTGTGAATGTCACGATCAGAGTTAAGAAATTTGGAAACGAGCAGAAAAAAACTTTCATTGTGAACTCTGACTTTATGATCCAACCTTTCTGCTTCACTTCTTTTAAAATGTTGTATTTTACTTGGTTTAACACTTCCTATGAAATCTAAACTTTAACTGTATTATTGCGATTTGATGGGTTTTATTTTTCTTATGCTGTGAGAAGCATGTAGTGGACTTCTTGCTGTTTCTCTTATGTTTCGATTACTTTTAAGTGTGTTTTATTTTTGAAATGTTAGAATAATTACGACATTATCTCCCTGTTTTTATGTTAATCCCGTCTATATTGGGTTACTTTGAGCCCACGGTGCATCATTGTGAAACACTTTTAACAGTTTAATATCATCACAATTAAACATTTAAACATTTATTTTCTCTATCTGAACTGATTCTTTACACAAAAGCAGACACTTACATCAACACTTTTAATGTTCTGGGTTATTTACATCCTTAACAATTAAAACTTATCTACGTTAAATTGGCTTCAGGCAGGCAAATGACATGAAAGTTAAAACTTGTAAATCTGTTTGTATAACTCACTTTTAAGCGCTTAAACTCAGGTACAAACACTCAGGTGAAACATTATTGATGGTGACGCTGTTAGTTTGAGTTGTAACGTGAAATCAAATCAGGACTTACCGCCCAAAACGTTGTCTTTTTGTGAACACTTTGAGCTTGAATCATTGCTCACTTTGTATTCTCCTGGTGGATCAGAGAAGCTGAACATGACAAACTCTGACCGAAGAGGAGCTGTGTTGTGTTGGATTGTTTAAGAATGTGACTTTTAATCGACCTACGCTGTAAAACACGACAATTTACTTTAAATGGATCATTAGGTCGCTCTGCTGTGATAATTACCTCCAGTGTGTGTTTACCTGTTTCGTCCTGCAGGTGTTAAACTCTCTCCATGCCAGCTCGTTCACTTCCTGTACAACAGGAACATATGCACGCGCTGACCTCTCAGGAATCCAACGGAGCAGATTTCAGATCCACAGAAGTAACAAAAAAAAACAAACAAAAAAAATTAATCCAACCTGAGAGGATCCTGCTTTTGTCACACCGCGCCTCAGAGCCTCAGGGCTGCTCTCTGCTGTGCTCCAGACACACAACTGGAACAAAAACAGCAGCTACAGCAACCTGCCCGCTCGCATTAAACCCACAAAGACACACACACACACACACACAGACACACACACAGAGACACACACACTGCAGGAAAAGTTTCTGCTCCTGTCACAAGAAATACACATGGACCGCTTCTGCTGCAGCCACACCTTCACCGTGTCTGAACAAGTCCGTGTCTCGCTCTCTCACACACATAAACACACACTCACACACACTCACACACACAGTCATAATCTGAGGTGTGTCTTGGAAAAAACGCACAACCCACTGCAACAGGCCACAGTTCACAAAGCGCTCAGTGTGTGAGAGCACAAACATGTTGAGCTAATAATAATATAGACAGATTCTACCCCCTACCTTTTTTTTTGGGACTATAGCTACCAATATAATTCAGACGAGGCTAGTAATAACAAAAAATAATATTAATGTTGTTCATAGAATTTAAATGTTCTTATTTGTCCTGTATATTATTCTTTTTTAATCAAAATAATACATTAAAATTAACTTTATAAGAGTTTTCACACAAAAGCGCTCAGGCACGAAACGCACGTATGTCGTGACGTCACGCGGGGGCCTGTCTGTGACGTCGCGTTTGGGTAAATCAAAGCTAGTTGCGAAGCTAGCGGTCGCGCTCATTCATTTAAACAAGAGTTTCCGTTAAATCAAACCGGCCGGGGTTGTGGGGTGACCCGTGGGCACGCGTGGACCTCTATCCGGATCCACACCGACCGTGTAGGAACGATCTAACCCGGGATAGATCTGATAATTTAGCTCTGTTAGCCTCCCGGTACCTGGGATCAGCTAACTCAGCTGGCTAACAAGCTAACAACAACAACATTGGTGTGACGCTGTCAGTTAGCAGGTCAGTTAGCCTTTTTACTCTTAACACATTAATCTGTTTAAATGCGGTTAAATGTTACTGACATTATGACGCAGCTGTAGCTCTGCTCCTGTTGACTGTATTAAATATATAATATATAATATATAATATATAATATATATATATTATATATTATATAAACGCTCAAACAGTTTAACATGTTAACTGTGACACCGGTGTATCGGTGTAACGAGTGACCGTGCTTACTGATGACTTTCCGCCGAATGCGTCGTTTTAACAACAGCTGTTGAGGACGTAAAGTGTTCCAATGAATGCATCTTTCTTCCATCATTTATCATAACGTCAAACACTCTTCAGACCTGTGTTTGATTAAGAACTGAACAACGACAACAACAACAAGCTGTTTGTTACCAAGACAACCACAGACGCGTTGACTGACAGTCGCCACTTAACACGGTCACTGGTTAATCCGAAACACCTGAAATTTCACTTCGACACATCGCACGTTAAATTCAAACACGCAGTGACAACAAAACTATACGACTTGGGGCACCAGTGTGGGGGTAATGAATTGTTTATAAATTAACAGAAATTGCAGGTGAACTCCTGCACAATGTCTCAGTTCATCACTGAAAGGTTGTTAATATGTTTTAGACAGTGTGGAAGAGTTTGTCTGCAGTGGATTTATCCATCTCCTACTCACATGTCTAATGATACAGATTAGACTTGCATGATGCAGTGTTCAATAACACTGTTTTATATTACAATAAATACAGAAGGAAGAGTGCATATTAGTTATAACTCCCAACTATACCCAGTTTTTTTTAACCATCATGATTGTTAATAACTAAAAGCAGGTTTCTTTCTCCATTAAATTGGCACCAATTAATCTGAGGGTAGCCGATAGCTGGCTAAAGCTTTAAATTAAAAAAAATGTCTTCTTTGTCGTCGTTGTGCTTTTCAGAATAATCTTTCCTGAATGTTTCACGTACAGGTGAACATGGCGGAGTCCAGCGGGCTGATCGAGGTCACGGTGAAGACTCTGGACTCTCAGAGCCGGAGCTACAGAGTGTCAGGAGAGGTAACATTAAGCTGCTCTGTTTCTACTTTCCTACCCGCTGGTTCTTCCTTTCAACTTCAAGCTGAATGTGTCTGCGGTTGTCATAGTCTAGATTTGAATTTGAATGTGAAGGTATGCTCAACAGAAGTGTCTCTAATGGAAAAACGAAACAGATTTTCTAGGCCAGAACACTTTCCGTTTTCAACAGCTGTCGCCACTACTTCACAGCTGGACGTCACCGGTTAACAGGGTCACAAGTTAAACCGGGTCAGTGGTATGTGTGTGTGTGTGTGTGCGTGTGAGTTAGTGAAAGGTGTGTTTTTCTCCAGCTCACAGTGAAGCAGTTTAAGGAGCACATAGCTGCATCAGTGGAGATCCCTGTGGACAAACAGAGGCTCATCTATCAGGGCCGAGTGCTGCAGGATGAACGCACCCTCACCGAGTACAGTGAGTAACACACAAACACACAACAACAACAATAATTCACACAGCGTAATGTTGTCAAAATGTGAGATGCATAGATACTTTTTGATACCACGTGTTTTAAAACATTTTAATCGTTGTTTTGTTTTGATGATTGAGTCGACAGCCAAGTGTCTCATACTGTGAGCAGAGTGTCTCCTCTCGAGTCGTGAGCCAAGTGTCGTACACAAACATGTTATGTTGAAGTGCTGGCTTCTCTGACAACAATGCAGCAGCCAGTATGTCCTCCTTCTAACTTTAGATTCTGCTCCTGAATGCTCTGGATTTGTTTGGACCAGAGAAGGTAGGCGGTTTTAAGGCACCCCTCACACGGCCGTTTTGGACGCCCCTCGGTTTGCCAGATATGACACCAGTTATCAGGTCAACAGGTGTTGCAGCGATGGAAGCGGGCAAGAGAAGTGGTTCAGATAGAAGTGATTGTACCCGACCTAAAAAGCCTCTGCATGTTTCTAATCAGATTTCCTATTTTCACTCTCTGTTTGTGTTTCCGCCAAGATGTTGACGGGAAGGTGATCCACCTGGTGGAGCGGGCCCCCCCTCAGGCATCCATGACCGGTTCAGGGGGGGCAGGTGTTTCCTCCGGGGGAGAAGAGGGTGGAGTCAGCATGAGCAGCCACGCCTCCACCTCCTCGCAGCATGCACCACATGACCGCAACGGCAACAGCTACGTCATGCTGGGGACTTTCAACCTGCCCGTTAACATCATGGACCCCCAGCAGCTACAGGTGAGGTGCAGGAGATGGAGGGGGTGTGTGTGTGTGTGTGTGTTTGATACTCCATAAACTGCAGTATGTGTTTGTGTGTTTGTCTGCGTCAGATGTCGATGCAGCAGATGATGTCTGGAGTCGGTGAAGCTGGAAGGAACACCCGAGTCAGCAGCAGCTCCGGGGTACCAGATCAGAACTCACTCTACCTCTGTTAACCCTTCACACTGAGTCTAACTGTGCAGCTGACTGAAGTGTGTGTGTGTGTGTCTCTTCAGAGTAACGGCTCAGTGGACGTGCAGATTAACGTGGACCCGGCGGTGCAGAGTGAGTCCAGGATGAGGCTGCAGCTGGCTGAGAACCTGCTGAGAGATGCCTGCTCCCTGATCCACAGGCTGGAGGTAAACACATACACACACATACACACACACAAACTGCACGTTGTGTGCTTTGCTGAATATGATGGAAATAATCACGCGGGAAGACAGTTTCAACCTTATCCCTCTGGGAGACCCTCAAAAAACAGACTGCGCCTTACATTCCAGATTTTACGACACATACATACTGATGATGTTCCAACACTTCATGACTCAGCAGGTCAGAGATAATCTGCAGAGCAAGTTACAGTTCTGAGGAAATAGATTATGATACTCCTGCGTTTTAATTCATTAAGTTTGCTCCATTAATGGCACTACATTTCCCATCATGCTTTGACCGATGCATTCGTGTGTCGTAGGGAGTTTCCAGTGATTCACAGCCAGACGTCCCTCCGTCCTCTTCCTCACCGCCTCCATCCTCCTCCTCTTCCTCTCCTGATGGAGGAGCTGCAGCCGCTCAGCCCACGGACACCAGCTCTGCTCCTTCCTCCTCCACCTCCACGCAGACTGAGGGAGCGGCAGGCAGCAGCAGCAGGGGGTCCAGGTCAGTCAGCATGTGGACTAGGAGTGTCACAAAACCAGAATTCTACACTTAGATATGAATCTAGAAATAATCAAACTTTATCAATGCACAGCAACTAAAACAAAAGCCCTATGCGTCAAATGTTGTGTGTGTGTGTGTGTGTGTGTGTGTGTGTGTGTGTGTGCATGTGTGTGTGTGTTTGTGTGCATGTGTGTGTGTTTCCTCAGCCACCCGAGCCCTGCAGAGTTTGTGGAGGTGCTGTCAGAGGTGAGGAGGGTGGAGGAGCGGTTACGGCCCTTCATAGAGAGAACACACTCCATCCTGGGAGCAGCAACATCTGCAGACTACAACAACAACGTAAGCACACACACACACACAGACACATGTGGAGCTGATGAAAACATAAACACAAAGTTAAATCATTTTATGTTAAACTAGTCATAGATCTCTCGGGCTAAATCCAAAAAAACCCTCTTTCCATCACCGATATTCCTCGTAAACACTTAAGTCAGACGTCTTCTTCGCACGTTCTCTTCATGTGTTTGTGTGTTCACGTTCAGACTCAGGAGAGGGAGGAGGATCAGCGCGTGCTCAACCTGGTTGCCGATGCCCTGCGTCTCCTTGGCAACACCTTGGTCGTCCTGGGCGACCTGCGCTGCAACCTGGCGAGCTCTCCTCCTCGCCACCTGTACGTGATCCGACCGATCACCCACTACTCCCCGCCGGTGCTGGTCCAGACCGGTCTACCTCACGTCCCCCTCCCAGTATGTCCACAGCGGTTTATTTTTTATTTTTTTTTATCGAAGTGAAGGGATAATGACATGATTTATTTTCAACCTATTCAATCTGAGACACACACACAATTTATCACAGGAAGAGCAGTGGTTTCCTTGGTAACGGTTAATGGAGATCTGGATACATGATGGTTCACTGATTGATTCCTGAATTTATTCTAAAAGGTTGATTTCACTCATGGATGTGAAGTCTCTCCCCTCACAGAAACAGACAGAATGACATCATCCATACGATTTGATGACATCTCACACAGATGATGTTTCCGATCATGCGATTTGTCACTCCGTCTCTCTGCAACAGATTAATTTGGGTACGACCGTCACCATGACGTCCAATGGCAGACAGGCAGCTGAAGGACCACCTTCCCACGCTGCCGGCCAATCGGATCAGCAGGCTGCGGGCCAGGCCGCGCCTCCTCCGTCTAATGTGACCAATCCTCAAGCAGGAGCTGGAGGACCCCGAGTGATCCGGATCACCCACCAGACCATGGAGCCTGTGGTGATGATGCAGATGAACATCGACGGTACGTTGGGTTAGAATTGACGAGGGAATTTATACTTCTGGGTACTTCAGCTCTCTGACACACACACACACACACACACACACACACACACACACACACACACAACGGAGTCGGAGGAGGACAGGTGGATGTAGCCCAAACATTTTTACATGCAGCGGAGTTTAAGATTTTGATTAAGCATCAGACGATATAATGTGTGTGTGTTCTGTGTGTTGTGTGTGCGTGTGCGTGTGCGTGTGCGTGTGCGTGTGCGTGTGCGTGTGTGTGTGTAACAGGTGAGTCAGCTGCTTCCTCTCAGGCTGCAGGTCAGACTCATGCTGCAGGTACAGCACAGACAGGTGAGTCCTGCTGTTAGACATTTATTCACACACTACATTAATTGTACACACACTGATACACACAGCGGTTTCAAGGACACACAAACCCCGCACTGACTCCTGCCCCCCCCCGCATTCTCCCTCAGGTCTCCCCCCTGAGTTCATGCAGGCCATCGTGCATCAGATCTCCCAGCAGGCAGCTGTCATGGCTGCTGCAGCCTCGGGGGGAGCCCCCCAACAGGTCACACCTGGATCAGCACCCAGCACTGAGGGCATCAACCCGTCACAGCTCCCCCACCCAGCCCAGGCCAGGGTGGTCATCACCAGACCCTCCTTCTCCCCCCGTGTCCCCCCACCTGTTGGAACCAGAGGAGCCACAATCAACCTGAGAGCCACAGTGCCCCCTGCTGGCCTGCAGCACGGACAGGTATTTCCCTCTCTCTCTCCTGTCGCTGTGATTAAAGAACACAGACTTGTAAAAAAGTGTTGTTAGCACGTTAGCTCGGTGTTAACAATGTCCCTCCTCTGCTGCAGGCTCCTCCTCTTCCTCCCTCCTCCCTCACTCAGATGATCAGTGGTCTGGTGGGACAGCTGCTGACTCCGGGTCACACAGGTCGGTGTTCACTCTTTTGGTGCTTGCACACATGAACCAAACTCCTGAAGGGCTCGATCACACAGAGCGGCGTCGCTAGAAAAGCGTCACTCTGGTACCCTGTGGTTGTTAGGTGCTCTTTCTGCTGCTGTTTAAAAAACTAACTATTGCTATATTAATTATTCTACTAATAAACTGTTCTTTGACAGGTGACCACATGCCCTCCTCCTCTGACTCCTCCACGTCTCCTAACACCTCCTCTCAGACCTCCACACACACCACCAGCACCACCTCCACCGCGCAGCCAGCGGAGGCCTCTGCTGAGGGGAACCTGGCCCAGCTCCTGGGCTCTCTGCTGGGGGGGTCGGCAGGAGGAGGAGGGGGGGTCCCAGGGTCAGGACAGGCCCCCTCCATCACTGTGACTCTGCCAGGGGGACCGGGCTTCTTCCAGGGTCTGTTGGACTACAACCAGGTGAGTCTAGGTGGAGAAAAGTGGGTGGAGTCATGATGAGTGTGTACTGACAGTAAACGTCACATAAATGGAGTATTTTTGTTCGGCTTTTTTAACAACGATAAGATAAGATAATACTTTAATGATCCCCAGAGGGGGAATTTAGGCGTTGCTGCAAAGGAAGTCAAAATACTTTTCTGTTATTTACAGACAGTGAACCGTTTCCCTGCAGCTTTGGATGATTGTAAACAAGAAGTAATCCAATATTTGATGCCTTGAAATTTTATTTTTTGTTGCCATAATATCAAAACAGCTATAGATATTGTTTTACTAGAATCATACTGAAGTTTAAAATTCTGATATTGTAAACCTGATCAGAACCTTTACTACTACTTTGAGACCAGTTTGACAGACTGTTATCACACTGTGTGAGACAATCCTGAAATAATTTGTTCACAGCAAACTGAGAGAAAATCAAACTGATCTGTAGTGAAGCTGTGAGTGACTGTGAATAACTCTGCACACAGAGGAGCACTTCATATTTATATGCCGTCTCATTCTTTTTTTCCTTCCAGCCATCTGTCAGTGCTCCCGGACCCCCGCCCCCTTCTCAGTCTGTTGGCCCCGACCCCACTCCGCCTGCCAGCGGTTCAGAGTCTCTGAGCCCCGAGCTGTTCACGGGCATCGTGCAGGGCGTCCTGTCCACCATGATGAGCTCTCTGGGAGCTCAGCAGGGGAGCGGAGAGAGCATCGCCCAGTTCATCCAGAGACTGTCCCAGACCAGCAACCTGTTCACCCCGGGCTCCGGGGACGCCGTGGGTGAGTCACGACGACGTTACCTCTAATGTGTACCTTACCTACTTAGAAGAGACCAAGTGACGACCTCCAGTGTTGAGAAAAGAAAAACTGCAGTTCCTCTAGTGTCCACTTGAGGCTGTCTCTAAAAGTTAATCAATCCCCACAGAGCCTCGAGTTGAAGAGTCCAACTTTACAGCAGACATGTTTACAGTCAGATACAGCTTTATTTCTCCCTTATTTATATACAGCTCACCTGTTTAAATGATGTTAAGGCTTAGAGTTACATCTGCATAATTAGAGGCGCGGCTGAACTGACTCACAGGTGGGTGCGTTGTAGCTGTTTGTCAGGAGGCTTCAGTCGGGCGACTCCTGTACAATTTCAGGCTGATGTAGACCCGATTTTTGAGTCTTACAACTAATGTTGACGTTGGAACGAATTCCAGCTTGATCTTCGTTTTTAGATGTGCAGCGTAGACGACGACTAATCCCGGCCCGATCAGCTGTTTCCGAACAGTCAGATTATTTTCTTACATGTTTGAAATCTTGGACACGCTCGCACAGTCAGAGCAGAGCCTTGATTCAATTACCCAACTGGACTTTGGACAAACAGAATCTGGACTTTTTTTTCACTGATTGTGCCTGCACAAACTGACAGGCAGTGTCCTAAATGAATGCGGCAAACAGCAAACGGGGGCGACCACACGTCCATGTTGTGGAGTAGACTCTAAACTGTCTTTGTTAGTGCTGATGTTCTGTGCGTCTGTTTGTGTTCCTCAGGGTTCTTCGGGGACTTGCTGTCTCTGGTGTGTCAGAGGTTCTCCATGGTGGACATGGTTCTGCTGCTGCACGGGAACGCTCAGCCTCTGACCCGCATCCAACCCGAGCTCAGAGACTTCTTCACCGAGCACTACCTGCAGGGCCGAGAGCCCACGCAGAGCAACATTAATGTAGGGATACACACGCACAGAAGCGACACAGAAGTTAACGTCTCTGTCTACTGGTACTCAGGGTTTTAAACAGCTGTCATGTCCTCTGTGAGGATTTTCAGAGGGGTCGTTCTTAGACAAGCTGTTTCGTCTTCTGCCACTCGTTCAGTTACATTTCTGCTCTACAATTTACAAACTGAGCCTGAAAATAATTATTTGCCAGGAGTTCTTTCTGTGTGTCACTCTGAAGGACTGGGTCGTAAAAACCTTATCGTCTCTTTCATATAGTCTCGACGATAGCCCCTTTTTCAGACCGCGGCAACGAAGCGCCGCCATCATTACAGCTTAAGACATTCTTTATGATTCTGCAATGCTGTACGGTGTCCAAGTCTGTGAATTGTTTCCTATTGTGAGATCCTCTGATGGTGATGTGTTTGATCAGCTAATTATTCTCTCTCTCTCTCTCTCTCTCTCTCTCTCTCTCTCTCTCTCTCTCTCTCTCTCTCTCTCTCTCTCTCTCTCTCTGTTCAGGCAGCAGCCGAGGAGCTCATTAACGGCCTGGAGGAATACATCACTGACAGCTTTGTAAGACTCACACAACACATACACAACAATAGAGTCCATCTGATGCACATATGCATCTGTTTGTTTACGTGTGTGTCTCTGTATCAGGGCTTTCACACCTGCAAAAAACTCCTGAGGATGAGCTGCATGTGTGAACGCAAACGGACAAATTTTCACCCAGACTTCATCAGGAGAATTCACCTAAAGCGAGTGGGAGGGGGTTTTGATCAGTATGTTCTTCTCCACTCTTAAGTTCAGATTGAGATTCTGTTCAACTACACGTAGCATTGATAGAAAGACAAATATTCTCATTATAGCGTCGTATAGCGGACTCTGTTGCTTCCTCTGCTACTTCGCTACGTCCTTCTTTTTACGTCATGTCTTACCTCAGGATACCCCCCGCCCCCCTTCCTGTCCGTCAGGGAGAGTCTCCCACTGTGAGGTGCATGTGTGAACAACCAGTTCAGGAGGATTTTGAGGAGCAGACCTCCTGAAATTATCTAGAAATTTTCAGGAGTTCATATGTTTAACATCTGTGTGTGTGTTTGTGTGTGTTTAGTCCTCAGTTACAGTCAGAGAGGGGGTGGACATCGTGCAGACCAACCTGTCGTTCCTCAGACTGAAGTTCACTCAGATGGCGTCTCACATCCTGCACTGCTCAGGTGAGAACAGGTAGAAAGGAGGGTGTTACCTCTTATTGATCATCCTCTGTTTAATATCAGTGTTTGATATTTCTCTTCAGCCTGGAGACAGTATGTGGTTTACACGCTGGTTAACCCCTTCAGTCTCTCCTTGTCTCTGTCTTCCTACAGATCACACGTTCGGGCCCCGCCTCCTGCTGCTGTGCACTCAGGGTCTGTTTGAGTGTTTGGCTCTGAACCTGTTCTGCCTGAGAGGAGAGCAGAGAGCGCTGACTGCTGTCATCAACCACCGCATCGTCAGTATAAAACATATATATATACACACACAGCGTTGCAATGCCCTGCTGAAACCGGTTTACCACCCACCACCAGGGCTGCCATTTTTCAATAAAACTACTTAGAACGACCCCCCCCCCCCCCCTGCAACTTATGATTAAGGACCGACCTATTTTGTTTATATTTTTGCCAGAAACACAGGTCTATTAATTTTATCAAGATCAAGTGCAACTCTCTTTATATTTACAATTTTTACCTGCAGACGAGAAAACCTGTTCAGAGCTCACAGACGTTCCTGATACAGAAATATTTGTGAGCCAGCGTGGAGAGTTTCGGGTTTGTAGTGACCCTGAGTCTCTACACCGAAGCAGTGGGGCTGCTGTCTGCAGAGAGAGGAATCTTGCTTTCGTTTTTGCCACAGCATTACAGTCTTCGTTTACTGAGGTAAAGAGTGCATGCAATGGTTTAGAAGTCACACTAAGAGCGCCCTCTGCTGGATCAAACTGATAGGCCGTATGAATTCAAACAGCTCATTACAGTTCGAATGTGAACTTTCTTCTACAGGCTCCAATGAATGTTTGAAATTGGAATAAGAATTGACGCCTTCCCCACCACTAGACAATATGTGTGTGTTTACTACCTGTACTGTGTGTTCATGTGTTTCTGTAGAGGAGGATGTCTGCAGAGGTGAATCCCAGTTTGGTGAACTGGCTCACCAGTATGATGTCTATGAGGCTTCATGTGATTCTGGATCACAACCCGGTCACTGAGGACCAGATCCAGCACTACGTGATCTACACACAGGTGATCACCAGGCTCTTGAATCACTGAACACTGACTGGTTAATAAATACAGTATCGTGTATCATTATAATTTTGAGCTCCAGATCTAAATATCGAAGCGCTGTGGAACAAAACAAAACCTTCTCTGTGTGTTTCAGGTGAACCAGAGGACTGAGGCGGAGGTGGGCCCCCCCTCACAGAGTCTGAATGTGGAGGTGAGTCTGACTCTGAGAACCTTCTGAATCTTTCTCTCAGTTCGTCTGGGATTTATCGTCACAAGGTCCAAACCAACAACATAGTCATGAAGGGAACTTTTAAAATGTAAACTCGTTTGATTTGAAAAGTGCAGCAACAGTCCAGGTAGGAGTCTACAGGTAAGGTAACTCACATCCACCCCCCCCCCCTTTCACAGATGGAGGAGAGTATGTCCCCCTCAGAGGAGGGAGGAGAGAGAGAAGCGCTTTCATCAGACCCTCAGTGTCATGAAGCGGCCGTCCCAGCCCAGGAGGGGGAGGAGGAGAGGGAGGTGGTGGAGACATGGGCAGCAGCGGTCCCACCTGTAAGAGATACACACACACACACACACACTCTGTTTTTCTGTGACGCCGGTCGCATGACTGAAAGGTAACAGTGCGATCCTGTGTTTGTCAGGAGTGGGTTCCCATCATCAGACATGACATGCTGTCTCAGAGGAAGATCAAAGCCCAGCCCCCCCTCTCTGACGCCTACCTGCATGGCATGCCAGCCAAGAGGAGGAAGGTGAGAGTCAAACGCACACACTCGCACACACAGAAACTGAGTCCTGACTAATGAGAGAACATCAGATAGTTTAAGTTGATGTTTATTATTACACATACATACCAGTGTGTGTTCAGCTGTAATGCTCCATGTGCTGCAGACGGTGCTGAGACGATTGTAAACGATGGAGTCAAAGCGCCCTCTGCAGGAAAAACTATGCTAAGACATAATTTATGAATTACCTTATGCACACTTTACAAGTCAGCTCCACTTGATAGCTAAGGGGGGCTGTGGGTCGTCTCTCAATTGGAAAGTCGGGGGATTGTCCTTTAGCAAGACACTTAACCCCAAATTGTCCCCACTGCTTCGTCGGCGGCGTTTGAATGTGAATGGATGGGATTAGTTACTTCTGATGGAATCTTTACTCAGGAGCCTCTGCCATCAGTGTGTGAATGTGTAGGAGTGACCTGCGGTGTAAAAGCACTTTGAGGAGTCAGAAGACGAGAAAAGATTTATACAAGCTCAAGTCCATTTACTATCTACAATAAGATAAAGCTGTTGGGTTACAGAGACAGGTTAACAGTTTCCCCCTGCTCACAGTCTTTGTGCTAAGCTAGGCTAACTACATGTACATGAGTACATGACATGTTCCTTTCATGCAGAGCAGTCAGTGGTGTGTTTGTGTCCTCAGACGAGTCAGAGTGACGGCCCTCAGCTGTCTCTGTCGGACGCTGTGAGCCGAGCTGCTCGAGCTGCCGGAGCGCTTCCTGTCACCCCCCCGCACAGCCTGCAGGGGGAGCTGGAGAGCCCTGAGCTGCAGGAAGAGTACACCCAACAGGTGAAGTTCTCTGACACTGATGCAGAGATCACATGAAGGCAAATAAAACACATTTGGACTTTAACATAAAATATACACAGACTTGATATAAAGATTCTCTCTCTCTCTCTCTCTCTCTCTCTCTCTCTCTCTCTCTCTCTCTCTCTCTCTCTCTCTCTCTCTCTCTCTCTCTCTCTCTCTCTCTCCCCTGCAGGTGAGGAGTGACATTAGTGAGCGAGTTAGAGATGATCCGGACTACAACTCCCAGAGGTTCCCGAACACACAAAGAGCTTTCTCTATCGAGGACTCGTAGTCCTCCACACACCTGATCCGCAGACCTGACGCACAGAGAAACAAGTCCAAGATCTGAACTCTACTAATAATCCCAACCTGCAGACTGCGGACCCCTCTGGATCATCCCTCGGCTCCTAGACTCTGACGACGGTCTCTGTGATGATTCAGAGAAATAATCTCTGAGAATAAAAAAGCAGCAGCAGAGGAGGATAAATTGAATCTGAGGGTCTGATCCTCAGCCGGCCTGAAGAAGTCTGATCCTCCTCAGATCCAGAATCGTCAGAGGACCAGGTCCACAGGACTGAAGCAGGCCCAGTCACAAAACTGTGAGAATAAAATATATTAAATCATCGGAGAATAAAAAAAACAGATCATCGAGTCGTAACAAAACCAGAACAAATGTTGTAAATAAGTCTCAAAACATGATGAGAATCAACGTTAAGAAAAGTCATTTTACTGTGACGGTAAATTTATGTTGCACTTAAAAAAGCTGCTAGTAACTCCTTAATCTGAGCTGTATCGTAATATTATTAATTATAATGTTTCATTTAGAATAATGTCATGAAGACAAACGTTCTTATTGTACAGAGTGAAAAACCAAACTGTATAAAAAAGGTTGTAGGAATAAAAACGTGAGAGTCGCCTTAGCTTATGTCATATAATTGATATAATTGTGTAATATAATACGTAAATATAATTACTGTATAGTTACATAACAGGGTTAAATTATTATGTGAAGATACAATGTTAAACTTTCTGAGTGTTGTTCCTATTAGAATAAAGTTATTCTGTGAACATCAGAAAAGATGAATTCATCTTCTGTGTGTTTCTTTATATCGTTATTTACAAAGACGACATCAGAGCCTGAAGCTGCCAAGACTCCTGTTCCAGGACAGAAAGTTAAAGGTCACATATTCTCCTCTTCAACAAGTTAAAATAAGTCTTAGAGCTCCCAAAAACGTGTGATCCACTCTGATCATGTCTATAAACCCCTCTATTTCAGCCCTGCTCAGAACAGGCTGTTTCTGTGTCTGTAGCTTTAAATATGTAAATGAGCTGTGTCTGACCACGCCCCCTCTCTGGAAGGGTTTGGGTGGCTCCGGCTTTCTCGCTCCATGTCCTATTGTTTACGGTGAAAAGGCAGACTCAGAGGGCAGAACAAACACCTAGCTGTGGGAGTGTCACCCACCTGGGGGAGGAATTACTGCCCTTTGTGATGTCATGAAGAAAATCTCCAAACAGCCTGTTTGAGCACACATTTTCTGAAAAGTGGAGCAGACAAAAAACAGAGAGGATGGACTTTTCTCATCATTGGGGGGTTTGTAGACAGACTAGAGACACATTAGAGTTAGAGAAACATGGTGAAGTGGATTTTATAGAATATGTGACCTTTAAAGTTTTTGTTGAAGTTCGGAGAAGAGAGAGATGTGGCAGTTGCTCCTTCATCAAATGATCAATTACTCAAACACCAAAGATAGTTAATTATATGTTTATTTATTCACACAGGTGAGATATTGCAGCTCTACATGTGGAGATGAAGCCACACTGATTGGTACAGGATGATGACGACACACACACACACACACACGGCTCTGATGTGTGACCATAGACTGTTTATACAAACGGACAGCGTGCCTCGGCCTCCTCCTGGTAAGCAGGATGAAGCCAGAATATCCCAGAGACCCGGAAAGTTCAGAGACTCTCGCCGTTTCTGCTGATAATCTGGTGCACACTGTGGCGCAGACGCGGCAATTGTGAACAGGCCGGTCACTCACAGGTTTTTGACCGTTTTAGAGAATCAAATAACGTCTCAGAGAAATATGACTTGAACACAAAACAGCGTGGTAACTATGATTCAAAAAACATTATCTGGAGTGCATTTTGATCTAGTATTTGATTCAGGTCTTATTTGTGAACGTGGAGGAGCCGGGGTTTATCTACTGCAGCCAATCAGCAGGCTTCACTCCCAGGCGGCTGTCCCTCCGTCCATCTGAATAGACAGTCTACATGTGTGACAGGTACGGCATGCTTATTGCTCTGTTTGAAGGAGAACTACACATTAAGAAGCCTCAGTATGTACAGCTGCTCATCCGGGATAAATTAAAGGTTCATGTATGTTCAGGCAAACAGGACGTCATGTCAGGTTCAGGTGATCGGGTACAGTCTGAGGATCATCACACTGCGGAGGCTGTGAGTATCTGTACAGTTTGTGTGGATTAAATACTAAAGAGTCGTCTGTTGCTGTTCCTCTGATGATTCTTCAATCTGTAGATACTAAAACTTAAAGGCTTTAATGCATTCATTCATTTCCTTCATTGTGTTTGTCTCATTATGAAATGTTGTCAAATTTTACAGTAAGCATTTTTTTTCCCCATGTCGTCAGGTCATTTGATGCAAGGTTCATCCTGATCCGGACTCTCAGAATCAAAAATCTGAAGGAGTTTAACGTCCTTTAAAGGAGCAATCTGTAACTCTGACCCCTAGTGTTTAAAAGTGTGATTCAACAGATCTATTCTTTTTGAAAATGATCACAGAGACAGAAAATTAAACGGTCCAACCTTTCATATTCTACATGTTGATTATTAGAATGAGTTTACTGGAGACCTGTGTGAACGTGAAAGAAGGTGCTGAACAGTGAAGGTTAAAGGAACAGTCCGCTTGAACTCCAGCAAACAACTTATCTCAGAGACATGATGGGTGTATTCGAGTTTCTAGTTTCCTGCAGTGATGAAGAGGCAAGTGTTTTTTTTAATGTCAGTGAAAGTGACCGACCGGATTCTGTTTAACACTCAGACGTGAGATCATCTTAGACCTGACAGGGTAATGGGTTTATTTTGTTCTTGAAAGAGACATGTGATCTGACTGTTTATGTTGTTAGCTTGTTTAACAGTTAGCTGCGCGTAGCAGAAACATCATGTGAATCCTCAGCAGACATTAGCACGTTAGCATGAGAGAGTCTGAGGTTGAAGTCTGACGTTCTGCTGACAGATCAACGCCTCTTGTTTAACAGATATTTAAAGACGTCTTTCTCATCAGTCTGTTCCTCAGACTCTGTGTTCACACTCTTCATATTTTTTAATCTTTAACCACCGACAGACGCTCTGTGAAGGGTGACAGCATGACCACATGTTAGCACACACAGCTCCATGATAGCGTGTTCCTGTGTTTGATGATGAATGAGTCACATGACCTGACAACTGTCCTGTCCCGGGTCAATCTCTGCTCTGTCTCACAGAGGACAGCAGGGGGGGCAGAAGGTTCAGAGCAGGGCGGTGCTCCTGGATACCCAGAGCCACCAGAGCTCCCGCCAGGAGAGACCTGACCCTGGGCAGGACGGGGGGCCGAGCTGGCATCACCTGCAGAGAGAGAGAGTAAAACAACGTTAAGTATGTAAATATATTAATCAGAGGCGGTGCTTTAACCACTGAATGATACAATATCACGCATGCAAAGGTCGAGTAGCAAAACCATCAAAGTCACTCCGATGACCTGGACCGGTCTTTATCTTCTGGTGTCATCAGAGGATCTGATCTGCAGAACATCTCATCATCTCATGAGGATTCATAGAAACGTAGTTACATCTGTAACTTTTGTTGTTGTTTTGTTTTTTATCCTTCCTGACCACCAGAGGCGAAGCTTTAAGCACTCTGGGAAGAGGACCACACCCGGTGAATTGGGAGACGGTACCCTCACTAAATAGTCCTTGGCACAAATGACCTTCAGGGAAACCTCTCTCAAGGTTGCCCAAAACGTGGAGACACCTCTCGTTTCATAGCACCTCCCTCCACACGACCATGTTGATAACATTCTCAATCTGAGGACCACCAAGACACACAAACGGTCAGTCCTATCTCAGTATACTGAATGTTCTGTCAACCTGTTGTCTCCTTCACCTGATGGGGGGGTTAAACTACACTGGCTCTATCACCTGATAGAGATCTGACCTTGACACAACTTCCAGCAGAGATGCATTATTTGGCCACAAGGTGCCCGACCAGAGTAAATCCTGAGTTTTCTGTAATAGAATTATCATCTGTATTGTCTTACAGCAACAGACTTCTTCTTCATCAGAGGTTTAGGGGCGACAGCGGAGCTCTATTGGGACACGCTCTGTGTAAGAAGAAAGGCTGAGAGCTCCAGTTACACCCAAAACATCACGACAGACACTGTGAAGGTGAACAGGTGAACTTACCTTTTCCACTTTGTGACAGTGAATGAGTCCGTCCTGTCCGATGTAGAACGTAGAGAACGCATCAAATGACCTACAACAGATTACACATGGTTTGCTTATTTTATAAACCACTGTGATAAAAACTACTTCAGTGTCTTTTAAACAAATGCTTTTATTCATCAGAGCGTTACCTGTACAGGTGAGACTTGTCTTTCCGGTAGAAGCAGAACAGCAGAGAGTAGACTGGGAGGCCTCTGATCCTCCAGCGGGCCTTGATGGTCCCGTCCTCCATGTGCTTCGTTAGCTTCAGCACCTCCAGCCGACCGTCGGCATAGTAACACAGAGAGAGGAAACGCCACAAGGACAGGATCAGCTGGTACAACACCCGGCCTCTTTAACAGACACAGAGATAGTGACGTCATACACGTGACCATGGGGGTTACGGGGGAGGGGTTAATGTGTTGAGGTGTGAGCAGGGCTCACCTGGTCTTGGTGTTGAGGAGGCCGTTGATGAACTCCAGGTCTTTGGAGTACATGCTGTAGTCGTGAGTCTTCATGAAGAAACTGGGGAGCTGAAATAAACAAAAAACAGTAAAGCTCAAGGTCAGGAGGTCGTGGCTCAAAGTTAATACATACAAAATATATAATTAATTTTTCCCATGTTCTCCTGTGACACTGGTGTTTGATCAATGAGGTCATGTTGTAATGACAGCTCACTACACTTAGATTGAACACTTGGAGTCCCCCGTGCAGGCACATCCTGTCTTAAGACAATGCAGAAAAACTAGTCAATGTGTTTGTTACTTTTCGGTTGGATTATAGTAATTATCTTTTATCAGGCTGCCCAAATAAGTCTCTAAAAAGACTCTTCGTCTGGTTCAAAATGCTGCAGCACATGAACCGACTAAAACTGGGAAAGAGATCACATTAGTCCGGCGTTAGCTTTCTGCGCTGACTCCCTATAAAATCTAGAATATAATTTAAAATCTTTCTTCTCACTTCTTAATGGTCAGACTTCATGTCTCAAATATCTCATAGTGCTGTTATACCACTTTAGAACATAACACTCTTAAAATACAGGCCTGTTTGTTGTATCTACAGTCCCCAAAAGTAGTATGGGAGGTAGGCACTGCACAGTGTAACTTCTGCAGAAACAGAGTGTGTTCTTACCTCTATCCTCAGCCGTTCATACATCAGAGCCAGTTTCTCCTCCTCTTCACTGTCTCTTGCACTTTTCACCTCCCCCTCTGCTCTCTCTGCATGGCTACACAGATAGGTAGGGAGCATCAGAGGCAGCTCCACAGGTTTATAAAGTCCAATATCCTGTGTAGACCCCAGGCTGATGCCAGGTCCCGGCTCTGCTCCCGACTCTGTAACCGTCTCTTTACCCGGGCAATGAAAACAATAAAACTGGGATCCGTACATGAACGGAGCGGGACACCTCTCTGCTTCAAACAGACTTCTGAAACATCCATGTTCTCTCTTCAAAACATCAGCACTGTTCCTCCTGAAGCTGTCCACGCTGATGTCGTCCTCTCTGCAGCCGTCCACAGTGGTCAGCGGGAAGGAGAACTCAGAGGACCTGTTGTGACGGGGTAGAGGGATCTCCAGCAGGCCGTCCAGTTCCCCCTGTCTGACCAACACACACACACTGAGAGGCTCCTCCCAGTGCTCCTCCCAGTAACCCCCCCTCTGAGGCTGGCTGGCATGGTGGAACGGGTGGGACAGCAGCGGCTGCCTATTGTTCTGGTACCTCAGGCTGTTGGGGGGTGACAGGGCCCATGATGCACCGCTCAGGGGGCGACTCTGACAGATCCATTGCCAGTCTGTCGTCTGTGGGAAACCATATGAACTCAGTCAAATTACACTATCAATGAATACTACAGCAGTCTGACATCTATCAACTATTTTATTATGGAGAGAATAGAAGATAATTATCAAGTTCAAGTTCTTCTTGCCAAATCAGAAGCAGGTCACAACAGTATTAAATATGTTCAAGTCAAAATCCTACACTTCTCTGTGTCCTGATAATGGGCGAGAGGAAGTTACCTGGCTCAGACTCCAGCTGTGTCTGTTGATGGGTTGCCGTCTGCCTTGGCTGCGGACACAACCCACCCAGAAGGCCACGCCCCCTCTGCTCACAGCCATTCACCACAGGGGCTGAGCTAACCCCAGTCACCAGCTGACCATCACCTGCAGCACCCACAGGAGGACACGGCAGAACAGCACAGAGAGTCTACTCAGGACGTACAACTCTGGATGACCGTCAGATGCAGCCGCAAGACCTCGACACACCTGAAAACCACAATGAGGAGGATAGAAGTGATTGTACCCGACCTAAAAAGCCTCTGCATGTTTCTAATAAGCTCCACGAGCAGAAACGTGCTCAAACTAGGATCAATATTGGAGATGCTTTTGAATTTCTGATCGTATCAGACACTGTTTGGACTTTTAAAATGTATGTAAACATCTTAGTCCGACCTACATCGAACCAAAATCGGACCAAAATCGGACATCTCATAATCGGAAAAGAACACCTAGATAAGTCGTTCATAGTCGGCAAACTAACGGCATGTAAACTCAGCCATCATATAGTAATCAGATTTCGCGTTCTAAGCATGCTCAAGAATTTCTGCCGGGGCTTTCACCCGGAAGTGGAAGGAGACAACGTAATAAATAGTGGTGTTGTTGCCGGAAACGGCGTCCTTCTGCTGTTATCGCCTCAGCCAAAAGATCCGTTGTTCTTCTAATATGCATTATTAGAATGTAAATAAAGCACGAATGCAGCTTTCTACAATGTTTTGAATTTGGACTGCAGTACCTGTTTTAAACTCTAGGCGCCAGAGTCATACTGCTCCTTTAAGAAGCAAACAACAAACACTGGATTGTTTGATTATAAATCAAATATTTTTGTTTATGTTGGTGAGTGAGACACTGAATTTGGATTTTTTTAAAAACTCAACAGCTAAACACAGACATTTGATCTGTAGTCTATGTAAAATAATATTGTGTAGCTCTAAATGGAGAACATAGTTTTGCTGTCATACTGTCAGAGCCTGAACGTCGTGCCTTCTTAAAGAAATACTAAGTCAGTCTGCAGCTGAACATTGATAGATTTCTCTCCGACGGTTTCTTCCAGCAGCACATGACCTGCAGCCGACCACACGTTTATAATCAGAGAGTCCATGCAGACAGCTGACTCTGAATTAACAGACTGACTACACACAGTCAGACTTATATAACTGATATACACACACCTTTACAGTGTGTGCATACCTGAACAGTGTAATACAAAGCAAGTTGTAACAGATGCTTCTTTAAAGATGTCTGAGGATAATGTTTTGTAACTTGTGAATGGCATCAACGTAGAATGACAGTTTAACCCTTACAGTGAGCGTTCATCTATAAAGGTTGTCAACCTGATACTTTTGGATACTGCCTGTTTTAAACTGATCTGTGAGTAAAACTACAGATCTTCAGTTATATTTGTAACAAACGCAGGGTATTAAGATTCACAGGTCAGAAAATACTCACCTTTCAAGTCTTACTGGAGTCTCATAAAATTGCAATTACAAGTATGTCTCTCACATCGCTGTGAACAGGTGGACAAAGAAAATACTCAACAATTAGCCTTGAATGTCTGTGTCATAATGAGTAAGGTGTGTTAGGGAAGAATGAGCCAGGCAAACTACTGAACAATGTCTAAACCGCAATAAAAACATTGGCAACGTTTCAATTCCCGTAAACTGTCTAATAAACGAGAAATGACCCAAAAGCATGACGCCTGGGACTTTTATTATTGTTGCCGTGGTAACAAAGCAAGTTCAGGAATCTTCTCGAAGCTGGAAAATCCGAGTTAATCTAAACAATAACATCAAAATATATAAATATATACTGATAATAAACTAGTTTTTTTTATGCCAGGGAGGAATGAATGATAAGGTTGAGAATACAGAAGGCCTTATATGACAATAGTTGTAATGTTTGTTTCAATATAATTACACTAACCTCTTTATTTATCTAAATAGCTTCAATATTTTGTAAAATAAAACATTATATAAGATTAATTTAAAGCAACTGCAATTAAAGCTGACCGATATTTGATTAACTGACAAATAATTTGCGACATTAACCTATTTTTTTTTTCTTTTCTTTTTTGCACAAATCAGAATCATGAAGCTGAATGTATCTTCCTTTAAACGTTGACATTTCCCTACATGCTACGTAAGCTAGCGCCTTCTGCCGTCTGTTTCAATGATAATGACTGCTAGCATGCTAGGCTCACCGAGTGGAAGCTAACAGTAGCCTCCCGGCTTGACAAACGTCCCTGCAAGCTGACGTTACCTTAAAATGAAAAAAAACGCTGAGTCACTGTAGCTGCGGGTTTCTTTAACTCGTGTTCACCTCACAGGTAACCAGGTGGTTAACACAATGATAACGAGCAGGTAAACAGTACTTGGATAACTTACACAAATGTCATTCCAGTCTGTGTGTGTCCTTGCCGGGCTAAACACGCCTCACGCAGACCGTGCTAATGCTGCCTTCACGGTGGTGGGACTTTTCGGTACTGCCTCTATGAACCGCAGACAGAGTGATAAAATGCAGAGAAACCTGGAAATATGTATAATCATAATCAGTATAAAAAGAGATCGGTTTATTGTACGTTACCGTGGAGAGATCAAGTAGTCTTTGTAGTCAAAAACAGACGCGTAAACACTCATCTGATGGATTATTCTAGACTCTTCTCTGATTGAATAAAGCTTTATTTATCGTCTCATGTTCATGTTTGCTTGATTCGGTGCCTAATTGTTTTTTTTTAATTGTGGTTTTTTTTTTGTTATTCTTGTTGTCAGGTATGTTTTTAAAGAGATCTTAAGGGTGTTCTGAGAGGTTATTTTTAGTCGTTTTAGCTCTAGCTCTGTTAAAATAAATTAAATTCGCTTATAAAAAACACATGGATAGGCCGGATCTTTGTAATATAGCAATAAGTAAGGTCTTTTACCTGCTTTTTATAACATAACAATGAGTAAGGTCTTTTACCTGCTTTTTATAACATAACAATGAGTAAGGTCTTTTACCTGCTTTTTGTAACATAACAATGAGTAAGGTCTTTTACCTGCTTTTTGTAACATAACAATGAGTAAGGTCTTTTACCTGCTTTTTGTAACATAACAATGAGTAAGGTATTTTACCTGCTTTTTGGAAAGTGTCTCGAGATAACACTTGTTATGAGTTGACTCTATACAAATAAAAATTGATTGATTGATTGACATTGAACACACATGTTGCACCAAAACACCAAGTCCTTGTAATCCATGTGTAAATGTGCTTGGCAATAAATACCGGTTCTGATTCTGAATTGAAAAGTTTTTATCCAAACTAAGACAACAACTGGGCTTTCTGTTTGGAAACAAATCTTGGTTCCTTTTATTCACCAGGAAAATAATTACAGAAGCAGTTTTCCTTTCTGTCCTTGATTATGGATATGTTATTTACAAACGCACAGACAGCATAGGCTGCTCCTACTCTAAAAACGTTTGTGTCAGTCTGTGTTTGTGTGTGTTTGTTCGTCTGCTTCTGTGTGTGTGTGTGTGTGTGTGTGTGTGTGTGTGTGTGTGTGTGTGTGTGTGCGTGTGCGCCAGTCTGTGTTTGTGTGTGTTTGTTCGTCTGCTTCTGTGTGTGTGTGTGTGTGTCCTTGATATGTGTGTCTGTGTGTCAGTCTGTGTGTGTCTGTGTTTGTTCGTCTGCTTCTGTGTGTGTGTGTGTGTCCTTGATATGTGTGTCTGTGTGTCAGTCTGTGTGTGTGTGTGTGTGTGTGTGTGTGTGTCTCCTTGATGTGTGTGTGTGTGTCCTTGATACGTGTGTCTGTGTGTCAGTCTGTGTGTGTATGTGTTTGTTTGTTTGTGTGTGTATCTGTGTTTTGTGTGTTTTTGTGTGTGTCTGTGTGTCAGTCTGTGTGTGTCTGTGTTTGTTTGTGTGTGTGTGTCTATGTTTGTGTGTGTCTTTGTTTGTTTGTGTGTCTGTGTTTTGTGTGTTTTTGTGTGTGTCTGTGTGTCAGTCTGTGTGTGTCTGTGTTTGTTTGTGTGTGTGTGTCTATGTTTGTGTGTGTCTTTGTTTGTTTGTGTGTCTGTGTTTTGTGTGTTTTTGTGTGTGTCTGTGTGTCAGTCTGTGTGTGTCTGTGTTTGTTTGTGTGTGTGTGTCTATGTTTGTGTGTTTTTGTGTGTGTGTGTGTGGTTTATTTGTATCTTTTCTATTGCAGTCTGAACCTCAGCATCATTTCAAATGAGGATTCTTTGTCAATGTGTTTTCCAATAATTTAAATAAAATAATAAGGCGAAATGGCGATGAATATAAATCTGTCAAATCACACTGTAGTACTGATCTAAATCCAGCAGGTGGCAGCAGGTTGAGAACAACAGCTTCAGAGAAGAAGAAGAAGAAGAACGACAGTCTGTTGGCTTGCCGGCATGACGTCATCATCATCACGGTGCTGGGCCGCAGTACATGTGTGTGTGGATGATACATCTTACTGAATAAAAGAAGAATAAACCTGCTCATCTTCGTTATTATCACTTAAAGTCTCAACATGCCGAAGAAGAGCAAAGAAGAAGCGGAGTGGGTGGGCGACGAAGCGGCTCCTGCGGCCGGTAAGAAAACGTTTAAATGATCGGTTTGGAAGCTAACAGGTTCAGTAGCATCACAGCTAACGTGAAGCTAGCCGACTCCGCAGCGCCGAACCCCGTAGAAAAATGTACCAAATGCACCTTAAACTTCCCTTTTCACGACTTTATTTAAAATGTCATAAACAAGTGAATGCTTTGCACGTGTCGTGTGTGTCTTCTTATTAAATCCGTTGTAAGAGATTTAATATAATGTGAGTTATTTCTGTGTAATATCCACTTTTACAACTCACATGAAGCGAGATAAAACGAGGCCTTTAGCGCGATTATCAAAAGGTGAAAGTGTTACCATGAGTCAAACTAACCATTTAATCTTTATTATAACACAACAAACTCTGCTGGAAGAGTTAATAGTTAGATTAAACTGGATACGTTTTGCAAAAATAATCCTAAAGCTAATAATTATTACAACATTTGTGAGTTATGTTTGTTGCACGCTGGGCTCATTTCCAAGTTCAAATTAAATGATTTCTGATTCCTGATTTTTTTTTTTTTGTGATATTCAAAATAAGTGTAGCAGTAAACGAGGTGATGATTGATCACCTTTTTGAATGAAGGTGATCTCAGCTAACATCCCTCTGTCATGAGAGTCACAGATAGCGTTGAATGAACTGA